AGTCTCGATCTCCTGACCTCGTGATCCACCCACCTCGGCCTCCCAAAGTGCTGGGATTACAGGCTTGAGCCACCGCGCCCGGCCTCAAAGCTCTTATTTCTTATCATCCAGATTGGCAACACCCTCTGACAAATGATGTTCGTCCTGCCTCCATCCGCTTCTCTAAACGCACATATCAAATTTATATTCTGCAGCCCAGACCTCCAGCTGGAATCTGTCAGGCATTAATATCAGAGTCAAAATTGCCACAGTAGAATGCCTCATCTTCCCTCCACCCCGCACTGGTTTCTTTCTAACATTCTTCTCCCTAATGGAATTACTCTTCACGCAAACCAGAAACTTGGGAGCAATTCTTGACTTCCATTACTAGTCAACCGTCAAGTCCGGCTGATTTTTCCATTGTCTGTTTTTTTATTTTTATAGAGATGGGTCTTGCTATGCTGCCCAGGTTGATTTGAACTCCTGGGCTCAAGTGATCCTCCTGTCTTGGCCTCCCAAAGTGCTGGGATGACAGGCGTGAGCCACAGAGCCTGGCTGATTTTTCCATTCTTGAATCCACTCTCCTTTCCATCTGCCATGGCTGCTCTAGTTCACGCCCTCTTCATCTGTTGCAACATCCTCCTAACAGATCTTGGCTTAAACATTGCAGTCAGAATGATCTGTCTAAATAGATCTGGTCATGCACCTTCCCTGTTTGAAACTCTTCAGTGGCTCTCTAGTGCTGCAAAAAACATGTAAAAGGCACCGGAAGACACCCCAGCCAGCCTCTGGCCTCACCAATCCTCATCCTTTTTCTATCCACGAACACTAGATAATTCTGATGTGTTTTACTGCTCTGTCCTTCGCATGTTGTCTTCCCTGTACCTGCTTCTCTTGCTGGCCAACTCTTACTTTCCTTTAGGATTTCACTTAGACATCACCTTCTCCAGAAATCTTCCTTGAATGCCCTGAGCTAATTGTTTCCTTTTCTGGCCCTTACCTCTTTTTGTTGTTGTTGTTTTTTGTTGTTGTCATTGTTGAGACAGAGTCTCGCTCTGTCGCCCAGGCTGGAGTGCAGTGGCGCTATCTCGGCTTACTGCAAGCTCTACCTCCAGGTTCACGCCATTCTCCTGCCTCAGCCTCCTCAGTAGCTGAGATTACAGGCATGCACCACCATGCCCGGCTAATTTTTTTGTTTGTTTTTAGTAGAGACAGGGTTTCACCATGTTGGCCAGGCTGGTCTAGAACTCCTGACCGCAAATGATCAGCCCACCTTAGCCACCCAAAGTGTTGGGATTATAGGTGTGAGCCACTGTGTCCAGCATGATTTTTTTTTTTTTTTTAAAGTAAACTTGTCCTTTGGTTTTGCAGAACAGGCCTGCTCCCTCTCTAGCCCATCCTCATTTCTTGGGGCCTGAACCCCAGTGCTCCAAAGCATTGCTTGTGAAATTTAAGAAATGTGAATATGATGTGGGGATGGGCCTCTTCTACATTACCTTGGCCCAGGGGGATCAGCTGGCTGGGAGGATTAGTGAGCACCTCTGTATTTTGAGGTCTCACTGAGTCTTCTGGAGCTGTGTGGTTAATCTTTGGTTTCTGATAACCCCTGGGTCCTTTTGGCCATCAGCCTCAGCAGTGAGCAAAGCAATACCGTACTCATTTCTATGTTCCTGTTCCTTCCTCTGCTCTTCCTTTGGAGAAGCAATAATTCCATGGGGGGATGATACAGTAGCACTTTACAAATGGCTCCATGTCATTCATCCCAGGGGCCATACATAATCTCTTGCACCACCTATTCTTTTTTCCTGTTCAGCTCCTTTACAGCTTTTATTCCTAACTTGGTGGGGCCTCCTTTAACGATGAGCCAATGGTAAGAATGTGGCTGTAGTCAGCAGAGATCCCTCTGAGGGGTATCTGTTCTGCAGCCCCTAGTGAAATCATGTGAGACAGAAACCTAAACATGGTAATTGATTCTAAACCTGTGCCAGTCTATAGCCTCTGCCTCCCCAGTCAGAGCTCAAGCCAAACTCTCCTGTCCTCTTTCCTTCTGCATTAACCCTTTGCTGATCCTCAGGGGCCACTCCCCCAACACCCCTGTACTTGGGTGAGGGATGTTGGACAGAGCCTGTTTTCATGTACTGCAGGTGGGGGTGTGCTGACATGTTTGCTCTTGGTTGATGGAGAAGGTACAGAGGCCAGGAGTGAAAATGGTTGACAGTAAGAAGGGGGAAGAGTTAGGTGTCTCATAGTCACTCACAGTGGGGTGGTCAGGGGTAATGGCATCTCCCCACTTTAGGGTTCTCAAACAGACTTTGGACACTTCTCAAGTTCAGATGTTTTACAGGTGAGCTCTGATGTGGAAAGACAGGAGGTGTGGGGAAGGAGGGGGATTTCGTGTGTTTGCATGAGTGTGTGTTTCAGGCCTTGGGAGTTGGCAAGAGGGAGGGAAGGAAGGAGAGTAAAATCTTCGGAAGGTGTTTCTTGTATCTGGGGGAATCCTACTCTGAATCTCCATAGTCTCCACTGTGAACTGAGGAGGGGAGGGGTGTGCTGGGGAATAAATCTTGTATGAGAACAATCTTTAAGAGACTGATGCTGAGTGGTGTCCTACCCTTGATAGGTCTTCTTTTGTAAATATGAGTTCTGATTAATTTGAAGTGATAGCCTTAAAAGAGGAAGCCCAGGTATGAGGGACCCACCAGCCCACCCCTATTTTTCCTTTGTGATGGCCAGAACATCACCATTGTATGAGGCTACTTTCCTTCCTGTGAGAGCCCCACCATCAGCATAACTGGCACTCTTGGCTAGTATTTAGCCTGTATTTCCTTCATTTCTTTTTTTTTTTTTTTTTTTTTTGAGACGGAGTCTCCGTCTGTCGCCTAGGCTGGAGTGCAGTGGCGATCTCCTCTCACTGCAAGCTCCACCTCCTGAGTTCACGCCATTCTCCTGCCTCAGCCTCCCAAGTAGCTGGGACTACAGGCGCCTACCACCACACCCGGCTAATTTTTTGTATTTTTAGTAGAGATGGGGTTTCACCATGTTAGCCAGGATGGTCTCGATCTCCTGACCTCGTGATGGGCCCAACTTGGCCTCCCAAAGTGATGGGATTACAGGCGTGAGCCACCGCGCTCGGCGCCTTCATTTCTAATTCTTAATATTGTCTCCTAAACGTGCAGAGACAAGCACACGTTTTAAAGGCTAAGGAGGCTGTAGGTAGCAGAAGGCTTTAAAAAGTAGCACCTTGCTCCTCCACTGGATCGTTTGAGCTGAAGGGACAGCTGCTCTTTGGCTTTCAGCTGACCTCAGAAACTAGAAATACTTATTTCAGGCTCTGTCCCATTGGCCACTGTGGTCAGGGGTGGAAAGCACCTGCCAGGTGTTGCCCTGAGATTGACTGGGCTAACAAACTTTTCCACAAGCTTTGTGGTTGAACAGTAGCCCCCTCCTAACCCTATCTTTCCTTGGCGTCCAAACTACAGCAGGTGTCGAGTGCCCCCTGGGTGCGAAGCTCGGTATTAGGCAAATAAGGGTGGTTGCTCTCCAAGGCGCTTAGTTGTCCCCTTCCTACTTTTTTGTTCGAGACTGCGTCTCGCTCTGTCGCCAGGCTGCAGTGGTGTGCTAATGGTGGCTCACCGCAGCCTCGATCTCCGGGGCTCTGGTGACCGTCCCACCTCAGCCTCCAGAGTAGCAGGGACCACAGGAGCGCGCCACCACGCCTAACTTTTTGTACTTTATTTGCAGAGATGGGGTTTCACGTTGCCCAGGCTGGTCTCGAATTCGTGTGCTCAAACGATCCGCCCGCCTCAGTCTCCCAAAGTGATAGGATTACAGGCGTGACATGCCACAGTGCCCGACCAAGGCGCTTAGCTTTCACAACCACTTGTGTTGTTTTCACAACCACTTTCCTATCACTATCTACTGTTCCTATTTTACAAATGACAAAACTAACCGACAAAAGAGCGCTGGACCGTGGGATCAGGGCACGTCCCTGTGGGGTAACCTTGAGCTGGTCGCTTGCCCAGCGCGGCAGCTGATATCTGAAGTGTCTTCCAGTCCCAACACTCGACCTAACTCAAGGTCACCAGTGCTCAGCTGCGGCTGGAACTGGATCTCGAAAATTGAAGGCCTTCTCTGCTACAGCCTTCGTTCCCGGGGGCAGAAAGAGGAAGCTGCTCAGCTGTGGGCACGCCGGCGCCTTCGCAGAGGCCCTGGGCTCGAGGTCCGGCCCGGATGCGCAAGTTCCGGCCTGAAATGAACTATGGGGTCCAGGAGGGGTCGCCTTGTTCCTCCGGAAGGCTTCCCCTTCAGCCAATCACCGTTCGAGGTCCGCCCCCCGTCCCCGGAAGGAGCCGTCGCCCCGAGCAACTACAACGTCCGGCTTTCTGAGTTGGGTGGCTGGAAAGGCGATGAGTAAATGCCGGGCGGAAGCTGCGGCGGGAGGTAACGGCGGCTTGGGCGCGGGGAAGACCCGGGAGGACAGTGGGTGAGGAGGTCGGTTGAGTGGTCCCCTCCCCTTTTTCTCCGTAGCCGCCGGGATCCTCCTGAGGTACCTGCAGGAGCAGAACCGGCCCTACAGCGCCCAGGATGTGTTCGGGAACCTGCAGCGGGAACACGGACTGGGCAAGGCGGTGAGGACCCTCTCCCGGGATTCCCTCTCCGTCGGACTCCCTGGAATCAGACTGGGGTCGTGCCCTTTGGAGCCTTGGGCGTTTTCCACATCACTGGCAGAATTTCCCCAGAACCAGGCCCAGACTCCTCTGATTGCCCCTCCTGTCTCCTCTGCCAGGTGGTGGTGAAGACGCTGGAGCAGCTGGCACAACAAGGCAAGATCAAAGAGAAGATGTACGGCAAGCAGAAAATCTATTTTGCGGATCAGGTGAGGAGAACCTGCGCCAATTGTCACCTATGAGAGCCCGACAACGGGTGAATCTACTCCTAGTGTGAACTCTTTTGGGGAGAGGCCCCCCATGGAAAACTCGCCTGTCTTAGGCCACCATCCTTAAATCAAGGTGTGCACTCCTCTTGTTAGGATCCCAACTTCACGAGGTTTCCAAATTTACAATATGATGGATGACAGTAGATCCTGTATTGTTGCTACCAAGATCCATATCTGCTTCAAAGCTCTTATTTCTTTTTTTTGTGGTTTGTTTTTTTTGGTTTTTTTTTGTTTTTTTTGAGGAGGGGAGTCGTCGGCTGTGCTTCCCATGCGTGGAGTGGCAGTGCGGTGATCTCCGCCTCATGGCGAAGCCTCCGCGCTCCCTGGTGTTCACGCCATTCTTGCCGGCCTTCCAGCCCTCCAAGTAAGGCTGGAGACTACAAGGCGGCCCGTCCACCGGCGACGCCCGGGCTAGGTTTTTGTGGTATTTTTAGTAGGACGGGTGTCCCATGTTAGGCGCAAGGATAGTCTCGATCTCCTGACCTCGTGATCCACCCACCTCGGCCTCCCAAAGTGCTGGGATTACAGGCTTGAGCCACCGCGCCCGGCCTCAAAGCTCTTATTTCTTATCATCCAGATTGGCAACACCCTCTGACAAATGATGTTCGTCCTGCCTCCATCCGCTTCTCTAAACGCACATATCAAATTTATATTCTGCAGCCCAGACCTCCAGCTGGAATCTGTCAGGCATTAATATCAGAGTCAAAATTGCCACAGTAGAATGCCTCATCTTCCCTCCACCCCGCACTGGTTTCTTTCTAACATTCTTCTCCCTAATGGAATTACTCTTCACGCAAACCAGAAACTTGGGAGCAATTCTTGACTTCCATTACTAGTCAACCGTCAAGTCCGGCTGATTTTTCCATTGTCTGTTTTTTTATTTTTATAGAGATGGGTCTTGCTATGCTGCCCAGGTTGATTTGAACTCCTGGGCTCAAGTGATCCTCCTGTCTTGGCCTCCCAAAGTGCTGGGATGACAGGCGTGAGCCACAGAGCCTGGCTGATTTTTCCATTCTTGAATCCACTCTCCTTTCCATCTGCCATGGCTGCTCTAGTTCACGCCCTCTTCATCTGTTGCAACATCCTCCTAACAGATCTTGGCTTAAACATTGCAGTCAGAATGATCTGTCTAAATAGATCTGGTCATGCACCTTCCCTGTTTGAAACTCTTCAGTGGCTCTCTAGTGCTGCAAAAAACATGTAAAAGGCACCGGAAGACACCCCAGCCAGCCTCTGGCCTCACCAATCCTCATCCTTTTTCTATCCACGAACACTAGATAATTCTGATGTGTTTTACTGCTCTGTCCTTCGCATGTTGTCTTCCCTGTACCTGCTTCTCTTGCTGGCCAACTCTTACTTTCCTTTAGGATTTCACTTAGACATCACCTTCTCCAGAAATCTTCCTTGAATGCCCTGAGCTAATTGTTTCCTTTTCTGGCCCTTACCTCTTTTTGTTGTTGTTGTTTTTTGTTGTTGTCATTGTTGAGACAGAGTCTCGCTCTGTCGCCCAGGCTGGAGTGCAGTGGCGCTATCTCGGCTTACTGCAAGCTCTACCTCCAGGTTCACGCCATTCTCCTGCCTCAGCCTCCTGAGTAGCTGGGACTACAGGCACCCGCCACCACACCTAATTTTTGTTTTGTTTTGTTTTGTTTCTGTATTTTTAGTAGAGATGGGGTTTCACCGTGTTAGCCAGGATGGTCTCCATCTCCTGACCTTGTGATCCACCTGCCTCAGCCTCTCAAAGTGCTGGGATTACAGGCGTGAGCCACCGCACCCGGCCCTGGCCCTTATCTGTTTTAAGGCATGCTGTATTACAATTATTTTTACTTGTCTCCTTTATTCAACTGAAGTTCCTCTAGGGCAGACCTCATTTCTCAGTTCATTTTTATCTGATCAGCACCTCCGCAGTATCTAACATCCAGCAGATACTACTCGTTAAACTGAACCAAACCACTTTCAAGGCCAACTTTCCTAAAACAGGCTGTGTTGTGTTACTCATCTAAAGAAAATTCTCTAAAGCAGGGTTTGGCAAACGTTTTCTGTAAATGGACAGACAGTATTTTTAGGATTTGTGGGCCATATGTATCTCTTGTCATGGCTGGCTGTACAACTGCCACAACTATTCACCTCTGCCACTGTAGAGCCAAAGCAGCTGTAGACTATGTAAATGAATGGGTAGGGCTGTTTCAATAAAACTTTGTTTTCAAAAACATGCATCTGGCAGGATTTGGCTTGCTGGCCATAGGTTGCTGGTCTCTGCCCTATAGGTTCACCTTGCCCAAGTGTAGAGTCCAGACCGCACTGGCTGGCATACTTTTTCAACCTGCTCCCCATCACCGACTGATGTGACCTCCCCCACCCCCACACTGATCCCCAATGCAGTTATTTTCTAGCAGTGGCCCCTCATGAGAGGAGCTCCTCAGACTTACTGGAATCCGTTATCTTTTTTTTTTTTTTTTTTTTTTTACGGAGTCTCGCTCTTACTTTCTAACTTCACTCCCCCACCTCCATTCAGCTCACTGCAAGCTCCGCCTCCCGGGTTCACGCCATTCTCCTGCCTCAGCCTCCCGAGTAGCTGGGACTACAGGTGCCCGCCACTTCGCCCGGCTAGTTTTTTGTATTTTTTAGTAGAGACGGGGTTTCACTGTGTTAGCCAGGTGGTCTCGATCTCCTGACCTCGTGATCCGCCCGTCTCGGCCTCCCAAAGTGCTGGGATTACAGGCTTGAGCCACCGCGCCCGGCCTGGAATCCGTTATCTACATGGATCCCAAGGCCTGGCACAGTGGCTCATGCATGCATGTAATCCCAGCACTTTGAGAGGCTGAGGCGGATGGATTGCTTGAGCCCAGGAGTTTGAGACCAGCCTGGGCAACATGGTGAAACCCCTTCTCTACTAAAAATACAAAACTTAGCTGCGCTTGGTGGTACACGCCTATAATCCCAGCTACTCAGGAGGCTGAGGCATGAGAATTGCTTGAAGCCGGGATGCGGAGGTTGCTGTCAGCCAAGATTGCACCGCTGCACTCTGACCTGGGCGACAGTGAGAGAAAGAAAGGAAAAGAGGGAAGGAGGAAGAGAGAGAGAGGGAGAGACAGAGAGAGGAGAAAGGAAGGAAGAAGGAAGGGAGGGGGGAGAAAAGGAAGGAGGGAGAGAGAGAAAGGAAGATGGAAAGAAGAATGGGAAGGCAGGACAGGAAAGAAGGAGAAAAGAAGTCCATCCATCCCATCCATCATGCTGCTTCACCTGTCCAGTTTCTATCTATTATGGAAACCCATGATCTAGGTTTCCCCACCTTGAGAACAATGTTACTTAGCTGCTTCAGCCCAGGTAGTGGTTTTATCACCGAATGGGAAGATTTCTGTCCTAATCAGTATCGTGTCAACCTGGTAGCTGCTTAAGGACAGGCATTAGATTTCAGGTTTTCTTTCCTACCTTTTTAGTGGGGTCGCTCCTTAACTGAAAATGATTTCTCAAAAGTACTCTCCCACTATTTCTGCAGACCCTCTGGAGAGTTTGGGGTGTGGCTGGTTCCTGAGCATATCTAAATGGTGCCTTCCCAGGTGTGTGTTCTCATCTGTGTGCCTCACAACAGTTTGCTTGTATTTTCCCTTTGTCTGGTAGGACCAGTTTGACATGGTGAGTGATGCTGACCTTCAAGGCCTAGATGGCAAAATCGTGACCCTCACTGCTAAGGTGCAGAGCTTGCAGCAGAGCTGCCGCTACATGGAGGCTGGTAGGACTGGGTAGCTCCTGAAAAGTGCCCATAGGCTTAGGTTCATTCTAGAGGTCGGGAATTACTAAATGAATGGTTCAATGACTGCAGCATCTTGTTGCAGCTAAGACCCCTTTGCTGGGCTCCCTTAGGCATAAAACGAAATGTAGGATAACTAATGGCTTTTGTGTACCAACAAATGGACAAGATACGCATTTGCTCTCCCTGCCACAATTATCAGTACACTGTCCTCACGTTTCCCTTTATTCTTGCTGCTTTAACTGGCTACGCCTAAGTGTTCAACCTCACACCCATGCTACTTGTAGATGAAGGAGGAAGGAAAATTAGAAGAATAAACTAATAATCCTGTAAGGCTTAGTTTCCTGAGCTTTTCCATATGAGATGATAGATCCAGAGCAAGGTTGAACACCTCAGGGAGCACCCACTGGGAAAGACAGAACTCCTTCCTCAGGGGTAGCAAGTGACCCCAGGGGGTGTGGTTTCAGAGCTCAAGGAATTATCTAGTGCCCTGACCACACCAGAGATGCAGAAAGAAATCCAGGAGTTAAAGAAGGAATGTGCTGGCTACAGCGAGAGATTGAAGAACATTAAAGCAGCTACCAATCATGTGACTCCAGAAGAGAAAGAGCAGGTGAGCTGGAGGCTGGAGGACCGCTGTGCAGGTCCAGAGTGAATATAAAGGCTGAGCCCAGAGGGCTGCTGTGGTTCTGAGGAGTTAGAGGAACTTGCTTTTTCCTTCTAGGTATACAGAGAGAGGCAGAAGTACTGTAAGGAGTGGAGGAAGAGGAAGAGGATGGTAAGTGTGTGGGAGCTCTGAGACAGGCCCTAGAAGTGCTTTTGAAAATGGCAGGCACCAGATCAACTGCCACCCAATATCATAAACTGACAGGTAGTGCCCAGTGCTGCCCATCTGAAAACAGGTGGTTTTATTTCTTGTCAGGCTACAGAGCTGTCTGATGCAATACTTGAAGGATACCCCAAGAGCAAGAAGCAGTTCTTTGTAAGTGGTACTCTCTTCCTTCTTTGCTTCCCTGTGGTCTTATCCTGGTGACATCTCATTCACTTCTCTCCCTGCCCACAGGAGGAAGTTGGGATAGAGACGGATGAAGATTACAATGTCACACTCCCAGACCCTTGAGGGGCCCACAGTCAGGAGTTGTGGGGACTGCAGGATGTCAGAAGAGTGAGACGTCCTGGACTGGCTACCTTGTTTTTGGTTGGCTTTTGTTGTTGTTCCTGCTGCTTTTCACCTTTAAGCAAAGCAGTCAGGAGACGGGCATAAACCAGAGCACTGGGTGGAGGATGAGGGCTGGTGGCTGGGGTAGACCCAGCCCATTTCATTGTCTAAATTGCAGTAGCTTGAGGTTAACATTTAGACTTGAACAATGCTAAAGGAAAGCATTTGGCAACATTTATTGTAATTTAATTTGATATAAAAATATTTAATTTCCTCTGGATAGTCAAACCTGCCAGATACCAAACCTGAGGAAGGCAGAAGTGAACCTGGAGAACTAAGGCAGAGAGAGGTTGCTATAAAATGAGCATTTGGAGGGCCCACAGCTTCACTCAGGACCTACTGGGCTTGTGTACCCCAGGAGACCTTTCGAGTATCTTTTGTACTCTTTCACCCCACCCCCAAGTCCTAGGAGAAACGCAGGCAACACTGAGACATGGGAGAGGCCAAGATATGCTAGACAGAAAGGCTGGGGGTGATTTTGAGGCCCACTTAATATTTCAAAATTGTAACCGTAGCAAAATTCCATTGGTATTTAGAAAAATAAAAAATTTCCAGTATGTACTGCTGTATTACACCTGCCTCTGCAGCATCACAGCCTGTGGGAACCAGGAGGGCTTCCCTTACCACCCAGAGCAGAGGAGGAAGGTGATGGATTATGAAGCGAGGGGAGGAACCTGGTGGCCCCTCCCTAAGATGGCCAGAAAGCCCTTGGCCTCACCTGGGACTGACCAGGCAGCCCTAGTCTAGGCACAAGGTGCCCTTTCACCCTTCGTGGCGGTGGGAATATTTCCTCTTACTCTTTTTCTCCCATACAGCTACTGCCAAAATGCCCAAATGTGGGCCAAATGTTGCCCGAGACCAAAACAGAGAAAAAAGTTTCCAAATCTGTGTAGATTATGAGTAGAAATCTGAGGCTTGAAGAAAGGGCTGAGAGGGCAGGAGCTCTTTGGGGTGTCCAGAGCAGACACCCATCCCAAGGACTTCCATGGAGTGGGGGATAGGCTGGTTAGGTCTAGTTTTATCGTCAATATAATAAATTAATCAGAAGCTTTCACAAAACACCGCAGCTCCACTGAAGATAAAATGGGGCTGGGAAAACCAAACACCAAGTAGAAACCAGCTGAGCAGTGTGAGGTGTTGTAGTCCAGTCTCACGGGCCCAGCAGTTTAGTGGCCAAGTAGAGATTCAAGGGCCTCTTGTTGGCTGTTCTGCAGGTTTCCAAGAACTGGTCAGTAAAGCTGGTTTTTCAATTGGTGCAGGACGCCAATCACAATCTCCCGCAGGGTCTGGCGAGGGCAGCAGAGGAAGAAATAGACAATGCCCAGGTCAGTGCAGAGTAGTTTCAAAGATGCCCGCCTAGATGAGTCACATATTTTAGAAAAGTGCATTAAAGCCAGGCGCGGTGGCTCAAGCCTGTAATCCCAGCACTTTGGGAGGCCGAGACGGGTGGATCACAAGGTCATGAGATCGAGACCATCCTGGCTAACCCGGTGAAACCCTGTCTCTACTATAAAATACGAAAAACTAGCCGGGCGAGGTGGCGGCGGTGCCTGTAGTGTCCCAGCTATCTCGGGAGCTTGAGGCAGCGAGAGATGGCGTGAACCCGC